TGCAATAAAACATCAAAAATACCCTTATTTAAAGTACAATATCATCAAAATCAGTGTAAAATAGATATAAAATTCTCAACATATTTTCCTTTGGCCAATTAACATTGTCGAGTAATAATCTGAAAAAAAAATCAAATAGCTCAAACATCATTGATGGATTTAATTGACCTCTTCCATGTAGACTAATGTTGTAGAGTAACATTAAAACTCCAACAACCAACCTCGAATAGTTTAAACATCATTGGTGGAATTTCTTATATATATTTCCCACAAGTTAACGCCATCGAGTACCATTTTAACGAACAGTCTCAAATGACTCAAACATCATTTGACCTCTTCTATATAGGCTAACAGAATCGACAAATACTCTGACAAATAAACTCAGAAAGATCAAACATGATAGGTGAATTTCATTTGATTTCTTTCATGCAAGCAAGTTATGAAGTAATACTCAAGCAAGTTATGAAGTAATACTCCAACAGACAAACTCATATAAGCTAAATATTCATGATGAATTTTCTTCAATCTCTTTCTCACTCAACAACTACAATATTTCTTGTTTACCATTACTCAATGGTTGAGTCACTAATTTATCGCTATTATACGATCATCTGTCTACAATCTACATAACATGTAGCCTTTAGCTATAATCATTTCGAATTAATTGTTCCTCTTGCAGATAAATAATGATTTAATCTATTTTGGGGGGTAAGATTGTTAAAATCAATACTCACATTGGCACTGGGAAACCACCGCTATTGCCAGCGTCGAACTACCGTCGAAGTCGCATCGCTATTGACTAATTGACACTACCGCTATTACCAAATCATCGGCGTTCGGTCACAAAAGCTATCATCAAATCACTATCACAATTGACACCCCTGAAACCCCAAGATAATCACCTGACCAATGACACTGATGACGTAAGTACCAACTTTATTGGAACACTATCTTTGGCTACTGCTTCTAGAACATTATTGCCTGATTGATGTGGTTAGATCACAACCATTGTTGTTCAACTATCATTGCATTACCATTGAAACAATTGTCGTTATAGTTGCCTGACCACTACTGCAAATGTCAAACCATAATCGTCAAATTGCCTTGTGATGCATTACCATCCTCAGGTTGTCACCATATTGGACCACTATTGTTGGGTTGTTGTTGGGTTGGAGTAATATTGTTGGGTCGTCATAGTGCCAAACCATTACGT